ATGTCACAATGCCAGCACACCAAATCACCCACACAGCAGTCTCATTTAAACAAGTTATGAAAGCTTATTTCCCCCACAATGGGAAATACCTGCAAATGAAGTGAAATTTATTAAAATGTTAAAGTGTGCTGTCAACTTGCAAACAATTATCTACTTAAGCTTTTCATAAAGAAATAATTGTTACCCAAAAGGATTCTAAAATGCAGTTGCTGAAGGAGGAAAATCATTCTGTGTGTTTGCTTCCTCCCTAATGCCATGTGACAGCAGGAAGGGTAGTATTTCAAAAACAATAATGATTACAACTTCCCCTTTAAACAAGTCACATCTTTCACAACCTCAAAACTCACTTCAATTATGATAAGGTGTAACAATAAAGCAACAAAAGTTGTCATCCAGCAAAAGATCACGATTAATTTTAAGAGCTCAACAAGGATAAAGGAAGCTACATGCTCATGATAGTAACAAGGCTGCTGAACTCTGCCATACTCCAAAACATGTTTAATAAGAGTACAAAGTACAGTCCAAAAATCATTTAGGCTGACTCAGTTTAAACTCGGAGCTGTTCAAATTCCTAACAGCAGTTACTACCTCTTGAGATCTTTAAGCTTTGTGTTGTGCTGTGATCTCCCTTTTCTTCAAACCCCTCCCTGCCTCAGAGAAAGCCCAGTTGTCTTTGCCCACCCCTACACCCCTCCAGTGCCCCTGCATCTCCTGGCTACAGACAGGACACAGTCTGGCGACTCAAGGCCTCCCATAGGCCACACTTCCTTCTGTGCAGCCCTTTGGGTAGAACTGCTAATCCTTCTTATTAATTAACGAGATAATGGTGGTTAACTGGGAAGCAACATTAATGCTAACTATCTAGGAAACTTGAACCAAAATTATTTTAGCCTTTTGGTTGCTCTTCCCAGTGTCTAGAATTGTGTACTAAGAATTTGGCAACATCTTAGTAGAGAATTAAGAAATTCAGGAATGACTGATTTACATCAGATTTTAACATGTGGTTCTCTCATTAAAGATTTTCTTACCCCCTCCCACAGCCCCCCACCACCACATTTCCACTGTTACTCATTACTAACTAGAGAGGAAAGAAGGTCCTCTCACCAAACTACTATACAATTTGGAGGTGCAGAAATTGAGGGAGCCAAAAATTGAATAAGAAATGAACAGTGATGCAAACTGAAAGCAACAGTGAGTCGTAAAGGATGCACTGTGCATCACCACACTGGGCATGTCCTGCGTACACTTGTCACAGTACACTGTACTTCATCTTCTAGGACATGTGTGTCCCAGGAAGGTGTGTTGTGTGAGGCTTGCTGGGTTTGGTTTTGTTTTGCTTTGCTTTCATGAATGCAATAACAAAGACAATATGGGGACTAGGTACCACCTGCCCAAGAATCATTGGACATCTTTAATATCTCTGGGAATATGGAGACCATTTTAGAGCTATTTTTCCTTAATCTGTCACAATCTTTTTCTTTAAGCCTTGAAAAAGGAAGGGTTTTCTATTAGCTAAGCTTTGCTGCCGCAAACAAGCAAGCAGCTTTCATTCAGGGATTGTCAAAAACTTTCCAGTGTGCCCACTGCAATGCGGATGCCAACCAACGAATCAAAGGCATTCAGCAGCTAGACAAAGAGGGTCTGATGCCAACCTCGGTGCCACTGGCAACCATTATTGGCATCAAACACAGTGTCTGCCTTTTTTTTCCCCCCTCGCCTGGCACTTCACAAACAAAATGGCGGTTCTTGTAGCAAGGGAACAGCCTAAGCGCAGCCCTCTGAATCAGTAACGTCAAATGATTTTATGGATTTGAATACAGTTATTCCCAAATCAGTTACCAGTTTTTAGGTGAAGTAGGGAGGGATGTAATTTTATAAATCACCATATTGAATATGACCCTTTGCTAGCATAAAGAAATAATAAAATGGACTGAATTGCGGTCAACCAGGTTATATGAACAGAACTGCACAGAAGAAGCCGCATAATGAAGACACTGAGCTTGAAACGAAATACTGCCCTGTGATGCAAAAGCCTATAAACTACATATCAAAAATGATTTTGAAATGTATAAACCTTCCCCCAAACCATATCAGATGCAGATGTAGCACTATAGCTGTGTCAAAGCTCCAGTAACTCTTTCCACATTTCAGAAAAGATGAGGCTGCTGGGGATGGAGATGGGGAAAAGTGTGGGATGCACCAAAAAGGAAGAGAAAGAAAAGCATGAAGTTGGTCAACAATGGAACCTTATTCTCCATCGGTCTTTATTTCAGCTTCCAGAAGAGATGCGTATGTGATCCTGTATAAATAGCCAAGAGGACCATTGACATTTCCAGATCTGGAAATTGTCAATATATTGTAACATCACTCCACACTGCACTGCGGATGCCAACTAACAAATCACAGGCATCCTGAGCTAAACAAAGAGGGTCTGATGCCAATCCTGGTGCCAGTGGCGACCATCTTTGGCATTCTCTGTTCTTCCTCATGTTTTCCTCCTAGTCCTTTATAAGCGGAGAGAGAGAACGGGGGAAAGGCAATTTTGTTGCTCACTCTGTCGCAAACATTATGCTTTTCTGTTTTAATTTTTCTCTCATGTTTTTCTTTACACTTCTTTGCCTAATCTATAAAACAGATTTAAGGACGTTTTCATGCACTTAGAGGAAAAATTAAAAGTCAAGAAGATCTGCAGCTCTCTCTCTTCAGCCTTATCCTTTTAAAACCTATTTTCCTCCATCTAAATTGCAATGCAAACTGACACAACTTACCTATACTTGACCAAAAAAAAAAGACATAAATTTTGAAAAAGAGAAAAAAAAGCACCCTAACCTATTTTCCTCCAACCAAATTTGAATGTAAACTTGCACAACTTACCTATACTTGACCAAAAAAAAAAAGACATAAATTTTGAAAAAGAGAAAAAAAAGCACCCTAATGTGACTTTTTTTCAAAGATGGGCTACCAGATGTTAAAAGGAGATGATGCAAAGGCAGGAAGCGGAGGTAACAAATGATTAGATGTGAAGGGTAAAATAATGAGAGGCTCTTATGTTGGCCAAGTTGCGGAAACAACAACAGAATCAGTGTTTTATCTAAAACATGGTCCCTGCGAGTTGGCTCCAAACTTCATGATTATCAAACCCGCCGGTGCTACATAGAAGGTATTTATGGTTTTATGTGCTGCATTTTTTTCTTTTTCAATCCATATTTCCAAATCCAAAGGATTTCTTTATTGTCAGTTCATCAAAACTAAGAGAGCTGGTTGTCTGCGCTGGAACAAATCTGCATGTATGCATACCTCAAGGACAAGCCATCAAGAGAGCTAAAATGTGAGCAGCAGTGAGCTGCTCACAGATCTTTCCTCTCCACACTAAAAAGTTACATGACCCACTTTTCAAAACTTTCCTTCTAGCCTTGACTTTCATAACACAGTTACGACACATTTATAGTCAATCCAACACATATATACAGCCCACCTTAAAATGTCACCTCCTAGGCAGCTGTCAATCAAATTAAGTGTCATGTGTTAATGAGCTTTTATTTTAGGACATCAAAGATGAAAATATATTTCCCCCAACCATCATTACTTGAACTTTAGTTTTTAAGTACATGAAAATAATAAATGCAGCATTTTGTTCTTTCGGAAATATATTTGCAAATGAGTGATGTCCAACATCATCATTTAAAATCACAGTGAAAATTCTGAAATGACACTGAAGAGTATCTGCAGAACCCAATCACAGAAATATCAAGACAAAAAGCACATAGACGGTGTCTAGATTTCTGAGTCAAAAAAATAATTTGTATATTTTACCTTTTTGAATGACAATAAAGTACATTGCAATTTATTAACCTCGTGTTTATATAATGAGTGTCAGATAACTGTCTGCCACCTGGCTATCTACAGGCCACCTTCCCTCCTGCCAGGCCTAGTTCGGAAATGACCCACCATCTGTGGGAGCCCAAACTTGAGGCCACTTTCTGTATGGTGCTTTTTTGAAGGACACCTTTCTATGGAGACTGTTGCTGATGCAAAGACGTCTAGATTCTGAAGAAAAGAAAGCTTCATGTACTTAAGAAAAACACGTCAAGAAAAATAGAAACAACAAAGAAATCTATTTCATTAACTCAAAAATGCTCAGCAACAGCATCGCTCATTTTGAACTGTCCAGGCAACATCTATACTGCTCTCTTTATCGAAGACTTTAAATCATGATTTGGTATGTGGTGTCTGCATTCCTTTAAGATTTATTTTAAACCAGTGTAACCAGTCCACTTTCTGTTTTTATTCTGTAATGTTCTATAAAGAAAGCTGCAACTTTCTTCCTTGGTAAGTTTTATGAATTTACATGCAAGTAAACTAACAATATAAAGTGTTCCTAAGTCACTCTGGGAAAATATACATTATTGAAACAAGAACTGAGTTGAATTAAATCAACAGTGCGTATTACAAAATCAAAAGTAGGTGTTGATAGAAATATGAAAATTAAACAAACCTAGGTCGCCGTAAGATACACATTTTGAGAGTGGCTATCTTAAGCATTTTGTAATAGTAAAATGTTAATTCGATTTTTGGTGCTATCGCACTAGATTCCTGTACAAAGTTCATGTACCTCGTCAGGTAAGGGACTAGTACAAAGATCATTAAAGAGCAATTTGACTATCATAAATAAAGCTACATTTTTCAAGTCGGGAAAAGAAATGCAGCCTAGGCCAGAAAGTGAAATGCAAAACTCCATTTCTTAGACACTCTGTATCTGCTAGTCTCTCCGGTCTTTCTTCAAACACAGAAGCCCATCCAGGTAGGAAAGCTCCCTGTCTATTTACATGGCTCCCACATGGCACCAGACATGTGAGTACAACTGGGCACACCAAGGTACCCAGAGAGGGCAGAGGGCATCTGAAGGCCTGCAGGACGCTCTAGCCTAAGGCAGAGATTCTGCACCTGGAGGTGTATGGGCAGTGTTTGCCGTGCTAGAAGAAAGAACAGTCTGCTCCTACCTTGCTCCTGTACGTAGTATGCCAAAAACAAGTCGAGTTCCTTAACTGACACTGTGATATGGTGTGGCTGGACACAAAGTGCTGGGTTTGTGCAGTGTGGGGACTTCATAAGCCGCTCTCCATCGGTACTCTCCAAAGGGATGCCTTTGAACAGGATCACCATGACTAGATCCAGACGCCAGACTTTGTCTGCCTGTCGGAGGCAGTCGATCCTCCTAATCTTACCCTTCTGGTCGGGATTGGATAAGACACAGCACGGGTGCTTCTTGCCAGTCACGGTGAGCACAAAGTCCTCCCGGTACTCCTGGCGGATATCTTTGCGCAGTTTGGCCAAGAGCCTGGATGCCCACTTCTGCTTGATTTCAGGCTTTTCACTGAGCAGTTCATCTTTCACTGCTCTTTCTTCATCCTTTGACATTCGTTTCTCATGCTTTTTAAAGTACTTGCGTTTTCGAGCCTGCAGGTTGAACCAAGTATAGGCAATTGCACGGACATGTGGAAGGAGTGCCTCGATGAATGGGTGGAATTCATCCTGCAGAAGACGGGAGGGGAGGGAGAGGTGCAGTCAGTTTAATTTCACATGCTTAAAAAAAAAAAAAAATAGACCACAATCTACTACCAATTCTGTACAAAAAGTTAGTCATAAAAATAACATTGTTATTTAAAATGGAAAAAAACCCAGCAGGGGGAAGAAAATAGAGTATGCCCCTTCTCCACCAAAATTCACACTGATTCTCCCTCCCACAAAGAAAATCATGCTTTATTTTGTATTTCTACTCTGGCCCCCCTCCCCCTCATTCCCACCCCAATGCCATGCATTCTACAAGCTTCACAGCATATGCAACCAAGATGCTTGGCACCCGAATTCAATATTTAAATATTTGATTGACCAACTAACACTATGCAGTACCATTTTACAAGGAACACAGTGGGATTTTTTTTTTTTTTTTTTTTAAACCGGAGCAGAGCTTCTCAGAAGGCAGGAGCGATGCCACAGTTCATTTCTCTTCTCTGTGGCACGGAAACACAAAGCGTGTAGATGCTCAGTGCAATGCCACACAGTTCCCGCTCTTGGAGCATGCTCTCAGCAAGAGGCTGCTGGTGGCACAAAGAGCATGCGCCATTAAACCTGATCCATTTTCTTATCAAACGTCCAACATTCCAACACTGAAACACCATTCCAAGAGTGGTAACTAGAGAAACCGGAGTACGGCGAGGGAAAGTGGGCAAAGGACACAGCTTCTATCAGTGTCCTGAATAGAAGGTTTCCATACTTTGAGCAGTGCATTCTCTCCCCGCACCACCAACACCAGCTCCTTACACACACACACACACACACACTCACTCACTCATTCACACTCTCTCACAGAGACTCTTGCATTTTTAAATAGAAGTTTCGGAAAGTTGAAAATGAAATGACATGAACGTTATTGAGGCAGCTTTCTTACAGAATATGAAGCCCCACGGAGTCACTTAATTTGTTAACTGACCACATGAGTATGGCAATTATTCAAAATCTCTTAAAAATCAATCTGAGGTGAACAATGAAAAATGGCAACTCGGCACCAACTTTACATTCTTTGGGCCTCTGCATGCTGTGGCACGGTGACACCAGGAGTGCACCCTGCTCGGTTACTGCTTTTGTGGAATCCCTACAATGCATGTGCCCTATAGATGGATTATGGGACAGGACTGTGGGCACACACACATGTGCTTGGGAGCCCGAGAGGGGACAGATCACACAGTTCCCACCCTATTTGTGATTAAAGTGGTTTACACTGAGGCTCTGCATTTTTCCTGCTTGCTTCATCTGAGCCTTTTTAAGGGAGGGGGGCAGATCATCTCTACCTACAAATATTTCGAGTTACTTCCAAATGAAGTCAGTGATTCACTACTTCCTGACTTGGGTAAAACCTGTCCTGTAAGCTTAGGCCTATTGCTGTCCAGAGAAAGAGACTAACATCGCACACATGCATGCTACATGTATGCAATAAGCCAAGATCTGACACAAGTGAGAACTTCCACCACAACCATTTTTCTGATCATATCAACTGTACTGTCATCCCAACCACAAAATAACTTACTCTAATAGATTAGATTGCATCCCAAGCCAGAATTTACACGTTCATGTTAGTTACTGTGAAGTATGAGATGAACAGTCCAACCAAGTGACTAATTCCATTAGGTAAAGATGGTGACAGTAAAGTAATGACAGTCCAACAAAGAAACTGCCCCCAAATTCTATATGTTCATGAAAGCATTTTTAAGATGAAATCCAAAGTTTCAACGCTGAAGACTGCAGCACAGTAAGTCTGTAGTTGGGACTGAGAATGGTGTATGTTCTCTCTAATCAATAACACAGTCATCAAGTGTTCTACCATATTGCCAAATAAGAATGAATCAAAATTTTATAACAATACAGAATGCAGCTGATTACATCACAGCATGAGGCATAACCAAATGCCATAGAGGAAATCATTAAACCGATCAGTAGTTTTCCAGCAGAGATTTGAACAATTCGGTTACTATGTGAGCACATTAAACTAGGCCATGGAAAGAGTTAAACCACAATCTGTTCTTTGTGTGGGAAGGCAGCCCTGCTCACAGCAACCACAGCCCATGATAAGACCTCCCTATCTCCATGCACTTTCTGATGCCATGCTTTTAGCTTTCACTGTAACTGTAAAAACTTTGTTTATCCCCCTCAAAATATATGCAAAAGGAAAGCCTGCCTTCTCAAGGAAATGTGGGCTTAAATGTGCTCTAGGAACTCACTTCCTAGGATCTGACTCTTACTATGATTTATTGATATGATTTAAAAACATGCATATGTGCTCTCGTAAATGAAAACTTGCAACTGCAGAGAGCATGAGCGAGCTGTCTCCGTCCTTTGGCCCTTCCCACACTTTCAGATGCAGTCTTATTTAATAGATAATAAGCAATCCCAGGACACTTAAGCACTTAGATCCTTAAATACCATGTTCAGTGACATTTCGTGTTCTTCTAAGGACATCAAATATAACTTTTGATTAAGTAATTTTGAAATTCGATATTTGACTATAAACATCAATCCTGAGTTTCAAATTTTAAATCATTATTTCAAACCACCAGAATGCAATTTTGAAAGGTGAACTGAGAAACTCTTAGCCAATACATGCAAAACATTGTTGTCTTGGGTTTACTGTCACTGGTGACAAATATTGTTTTAAAACATATAATGTTATTTATTGGTCAACAGAAGTGGAAACCCTTCTCAGGCCACCAGTTTGCCTTGTTAGTATCTTTCAGGCCTCCATATTATGTGGACTCAACTTTAAGCAAAACATTTATTTGATAAGGAGACAGCCCCACAAAATGATAAGTGGTGATTTTCAATATGTCACATACATTTTTGCAATAACATGTCTAAATGTCATCTCCCATGTGTGTTTTCTAAAGATTAATTGAAATATATTCTTATAATTTTAGGTGACATGAATGTGGAGCATGGCTGTCCTCTTGGAAAGAAAAGGGGGATTAAGGTATTCAAATATCCTAACTAATGGATTATCACAATAACACTAAGCAATTATCAAAAATTTTTTTAAAAATCAAAGTATGTAAGTTATTTAATATCTAAATTCTCGATACTAAGATACGTGTGCAAGCTCACACTTTTAATTTTCTTTAAAATACACTGACATTCAGAGAACCTTTCTCTTATAAAATTTCGAGTTGAACTAAATTATTAAAATAAATAGGCAAGTTTTAACGACTCAAATACAAACATAAAGTCTAGTATACACAGACAAATTTATTTGTCTTCATAGAAACAATAGTTGCCATGAAAGGGCTAGAAAATTGGCCCAACACAGTGATGGAAGAGTAAATTCTGTGTGCTGTTAGAGCTTCATCACAATATAACAATAAACCATGAAAAAAAAAAAAAAAAAAACTAAAGAACTTGAATGACAACAAAAGAAAAAAATGTCACCAAGCCAACTCAAAGTTATATTAAAGATACATTTGTAGACAAAACAAATAATAAATCAATAGCTGTTTCTTAATTTTTCTTTACAACTGTCTGGTTTATACTGATCCACAAAAGCTGATTTGTATTGCTACTACATTTTGCTAAAAATCAGTTTTAATGATGGCTTTATTTAAATTAAGGTGCTAAAGCCTGGATGCTTTAGTGTAACAACTGGGATACTTTCTAAAGTTTCTAACAAATTAAAGATGCTGGTTTACTTTGCACTAGCGTACTATAAAACAGGTTGTTGAACACTATTCAGGCTCTTGAAATACAAAACTAAACTATTCCTCTGATACGAAAGTAACACTTTAATGTGTCCTCAGTTTTGCAATACCTTAAATTACCTACAAAGTTATACCCTCCCTGGTATAGGCCTTAAATTCCCAATACAAGTTTAACACATCAACTCAGATTTAGACTGTTAAAATAACAAAGAAGGTGTAGTCACCCTGAATTAGTGTTGGTAAATATGTGTCCTTGAATAGTAATGTGATAGTGGAATGACTGTCCTGTCTAAGCTCCATACATTCGGGATGCTGCAATATTACTTTTAACCTACACAAACCAAGATAGAACTGGTGACTTTTCAATGCCTCTGGGTGACTAGAAATGCAATGCAATTGCTCCAAAAAGCTCATGTTCGAAACAGAAGTACAGAAAAGTACACTATTGTCCAGCCCTTTACAGGTGAGAATAAGCGGTCAATACTTTGTGAGTGCAAAGCCTACTTCAATCTGTTTCATTTGCCCCAATGCAGAAATAATATAAATGGATGTGGTTTAACAGAAAGAGGAAAAAATCCTGCTGATGAATAATAATAAGGTAACTTTTACACTAGGCAATTCGTTATACCGGAAACAATTTCATTATCACCGTCATTGGCTACTATCATTCACAGCTTTTAAGATGTGAATAGCTCAACAACCCATTTTTCCAGTTTTGTTAAATTAAAGTGCAGGTTTACTCGCTTAAAATAGCCATATCTAAGTTAATCATACTCAGATGCCAAACAAAATATAAACAATAAAAAATGTGTCAGCCAAAAAGCTACAGGACTGTATCCAATCACTGAATAAGCCTTATCATTGTTTTCATCTTCATTCACAATTTATGAATGCCTCAGTCCTTTTGAATCACAGTGGTTTCTAATTGTTATACAACTGAAATCTTAATTATTTGTCCATTGTAAAAATGCATCATCTTAAGAGATTTTTTTTAAAAACTTATTTAACGCACTCAAAACTGGACAACATTCCTTTAACTGTTTCGTTTTTATGACAATGTCCAAAAAACTCATCAACTAACCAATCGTGCTATCACTGAAAGTTTAAGTAAACTGTTCACATAACTGTAAAGGCTAAAAAAAAAAATGCTTCAAATAACAATTCTGGACTAAGCTATTTAGTTCATCGGTTGGTTAGTTCGTTGGGCGGCGATGGAAGGATGAAAGCGCGCCCAGGTAAGTACGCTCCATCTCCTCACTTTTTCTTTTGATCATCTGGTTGAAACTGATAGAAACTGGCTTTGCTTTTAAGTATGAAGCCAATGTTTTGTTTTCTAACTTTACTCCTCAGGTTTTAGGACAATCTTCTAAGTTTATAAAAATGACCTCACTTGTCCAGTATTACTTTACGCCTTACGAATATGCCCGAATGTCTTCCCAGGAGCAGGTCTCTACAAAACGAACATGTTCTCAAAGTCCTTAACATTCTCCACAGCCAACTAAACTCTTGTCACAGCAAACACCGCCCGTGAGGTGCGGTCACCGGAACCTCAAAATGCGGGTCACGAGAGACTAGGACTGTAGGTCCCCGAACCACCAACACGGACCGGCGGCGTCGCCCGCCCACCTCGGGCAGCGGGGTCCAGAGGCACCCAGCCGCTCACCCCGGTCCACCGGCTCTTCCCGAGGGCGCGGGGCGGGAACAGCAGGTCCCCAGCCCGCGTCCGCCCCACGCGCGGCAGCAGGGAGCGCGGGCGCCCGGGGCGGGAGAGCTGCCGCAGCCGGCGCTCGGGGACCGCGCAGGGTTGACGCTCCCTGGCCTCGGCCCTGCCCACC